AAAAGAAGACCAAGTTAGCATGGCTTTATAATGAATAGATAAAAAATAGCCTTCTTAGTAAGAGCTTTGTCTCGAGATATAATACTTGACATTGATTTGGGGAGCCTTTTCCTTTTTAAGGGCAAAAACCATCACTATTATGCCGCAGAATGATGCATCAAAGAGAATATAATTACAATCACAGAACAATCAAGCAAGCGCAAACCTTAAGCTAGATTTAAAGTTTTACAATTCTATTGTTATAAAAAGAAAGTTGAAAAACTGCAAACACTAGCCCCTCTTTTTTTCTAATTATTTCTGCTCCATTTAACATAAAACAATTAGGTGAAAAAATAATTTCAAACTGCTATTAAAATTTGATGCAATGCATTTATTTAAGAATGTGGAAAAGGGACAATATGAATCCTCCAGATTACCTTGTATCGTTACTAGTTCTGCTTTCACACTTTAGTCTTGAAAATTACAGCTTCCTTTCTCTAGAACTAACACCTGTTTTCTTCCCTTTCTAACTCTTGCTTATTTTTCACATTACATCAGCCTAGACCTCCTCCCTTCAGATCTTGCCTGAGTCCTCAACTATCCCCTGGGTTGGCCTTCCACCTGCTCCATATCACTTTGAATGCAGCCAACTCTGGACACCTAGCCCAATTATACATCCCTCCACAAGACTGTAAGCTCCAGAGAACCAACAGGGACACATTTTGTCAATTGCATCCTTTTCTGAAGGACTGGGACATTCAAGAGAATAGATGTATCTACTTACACACCATGTGCCCTCTCATTCCTGCACTTACTGCTTGCTAACTCTCTCACATGCATGCACACACACAATTAGATGTTCACACAGACCATAGACTCAGATACTTTCGTACTTCCTCACAGAGTATAAAGATGCTATAACTGTGCATAATCACCAAACTTCTGTCAAAACAGAGGTCTGACTGAAGAGCTGGGATTTGAAGCCAACAACTCTGTCAGCTTATTGCTATTCCTTCAACTTCCTCTAAAATGAATGGATATGACTATACTTTCCCTTCAGGCTAGAATTCAGGCATATGAAAGATTTGGTACCAGTCACTATGGAGAATTATCATATATGTGACAAAAGTAAAGCCAGCTGAAAGACTGAGTCTTGAGTTTTCACTGAAAGCACATACTAAGAATACACACTCCAGCAAATCCACAGCCCAAAAATAGCACTTGTATTTACCAACTGGTCTTCTCAGTTTACACTCTTACTAGCAGTATAAAATAAAATATCTGTAATCAAATACTAACATTACTAAAGGACAGGTGGCTTAGTTGAACACAATGCTTAACGTAGATATACAACTTAACATTCAACTTTTAATGGCCTTTTCCAATGCTAAACTCTCAACTGCCTTTACGATACTAACTGTATCATAAGTCAGCTAAAGAATGAACATTTCTCGAGGCTATGATGAGCTATGATCACACCACTGCACTCCAGCCTGTGCAACAGAGTAAGACCTGGTTAAAAAAAAAAAAAAAGTTAAATTCCAGACACATTGACATTTTACTGGCAGTGTTTGTTTATGTAACTAATTAAATGTTCTATTACCTTCTGCCATTAGAATTTCATTTTTAAAATTAGAATATATTAGAAAATTAGCCAACTGGAGATTTTCTTATGATTCGCTTATGTGTTTAATTGTGAAAAAAAAATAGAGAAGACATAATAAATCTTAGAACTATTATGCCTAAAAGGCAAAATGTTACATTGTCTTTTTTACGGTAAATCTTACAAATTAACTCTCATATTCAGTCTGTAAAGGTGATTTAGAAAGCGCATACAAAATCCAGGCTTACCCATATGGGTAAATGTAGTCTAAAAAGTCTGCTTATATTTTAAAATATAGAAACAGAAGTAGCTACTAAAAGTTGATGCTCTGGAACCTCAATTTTTCAGCCTTCTTCAGCCAACACATTTGTTTTCATAACAGTGTCATTTAACTGGAAGTAGAGTTCTAAAATTATAAAGGAATGTCCATTGGAAAAAAATAAACCACTCTCATAACAATGCACTTTTCATACACCCTAGTGCTATGGTTTGAATATCCCTCCAAAACTCATGTTGGAATTTAACTGTCATTGCTGTCATTGCAATGTTATTATGAGGTAGAGTCTTGAAGATGTGATTATGTCATAAGGGCTCTATCCTCATGAAAAGATTCATGTCATTGTCATGGGAATGGGTTAGTTATATCAGAATTAGGTTCCTAATGAAAGAATAAGTTTGGACACATTTATCTCTTGGTCTCATGCACTCCCTTGAGCTTCCAACATGTTAAGAAGCAGCACAAAGGTCCTTGTTAGATGCCAGTACCATGCTCTTGGACTTTCTAGCCTCCAGAACCAAAAGCCAAGTAAACTTATTTCCTTTATAAATTACCCAGGCTGTGGTATTCTGTTGTAGCAATAAAAAAATTGGTTAAGATACTTAATAAGAACACAGGTCTCAATAATTGGCAGTAAAACTAAACCAGCAAAACAACTGACATGCTAAGAAACATCTAAAAATATATGAGTCATATGAGTGGCCTGAACTATGCTGCTCCTTAGGCCCTGCTCTCATCAATGCCACACTTCTCTGCTGCCTGGGTTTTAGATTTTTGAATATACCAAGATACGGGAATTTGAGCAGAATGCAGCAATTAGACTCAGCCATCAAATGCAGGGTATTTCTCATCAATATCTTTTTCTCTCATCTCCACCTTAATCAGAGGCACAACTTGGATCACATGAGAAGCATAAATAGATTACAAAAGCCCTTTTTAAAAAATGGGGGAGTGTGACCGGACATGGTGGTTCACACCTGTAATCCCAGCACTTTGGGAGGCCAAGTCAGGCGGATCACCTGAGCTAAGGAATTCAAGACCAACTTGGGCAACAGAATGAAACCCATCTTCATTAAAAAAAAAAAAAAAAGTAGTCTGTGGGGCAATGGTGGTGTAGCACCTATAGTCCCAGTTACTCCAGAGGCTGAGGTGGGAATATCGCTGGAGCCTGGGAGTTGCAGGTTTCAGTAAGCAGAGATGATGCCCCTGCATTGCAGCCTGGGCAACAGAGCCAGACCCTGGTTCAAAAACAAATGGGGGCATGCTTCAACTGACACCATCAAGAACATGGAATAACAACACTCAGAAGAGGGAGGAAATACTTGCAAATCATATATCTAACAAGGGACTCGTATTCAGAATATATAAAGAATTCTTACAAACCGATAATAAAAAAGACAACTCAATTTTTAAACAGTCAAATGATCTGAACAGACATTTCTCCAAAAACATGAATGTCCAATAAGTATATAAAAAAGTTGCCACATTAATCACTAGGGAAATACAATGACAATACTGAGATACAACTTTACAACCACTAGGATGAAGAAATTGCTTTTTTTTTAATAATGAAAAAGACAATAACAAGTGTTAGTGAGCATGCACAGAAATTGGAACCCTTACACATTGTTGATGGGAAGGTAAAATGCAGATGCCTGGAAAACAGTTCAGCAATTTCTTAAAATGTTCAATATAAAGCTACCACAAAATCCAGCAATTCCACTCCTAGACATATACCCAAGGAAAATAAAAGCATATATCCATATGAAAACTTATACATTAATGTTCATAGCAGCATTATTAATAGAAGCAAAAAAATGTGGAAATACAAATTCTACCAACTGATGAATGGATAAGGTAGGGTATAGCTCCACAATGGAATAGTATTTGGCAATTAATAAGAATGATGCACTGATAAAAGCTACAGTTTGGATTAGCTTCAAAAACAATCTAAGAGAAAGAAGCCAGTTACAACAGACCACACATTGTATGATTCTATTTATATGAATGGTCTTGAATAGGCAAATCCATAGAGATGATAAAGAGATTACTAGTGGGAAGTGGAAAGGATGGGAAGTGACTGCCTAAAAGGTTTCTATTTGGGGTGATGAAAGTGTTCTAAAATTAGATTTTGATGATACTTACAAAACTCTAAGTACACTAAGGAACATCGAAATGTACACATCAAATAGGTGAATTTTATAGTATATAGATTATATCTCAATAAAGTTGTTTTAAAAAGGGAACGAGGAGGATGCAATAACACACGGTATTTCCCCATGCCTTTGAAAACTGAAGAGTAATGATCGGATCTTTTGTCACTTTGGAAAGCTGTTTCCATGTTTAGATCCAACACTAAACAAGGCATGAAAACAAAGTATCATAGAAGAAACTGGGGTCCTGGAGATAGCAGCAAAATAGTATGTGTATTTTAAGTAAAATACGTGTATTAAAATAGGCCCAAGGAATACATGCGGTGTAAAGGCTTTGGCAAACAATGGATAAATCTTTGTCAAGAGAATTAAAGGGCTTAATGAAAGCTGTGTAAAAGCAGCAGTAGCAGCAGCAGCAGCAGCTTTTCCAAGTGCCTATGACTCTAAAGATCTCAAACTGATAGACCTTAGGATCTGCTACTCCTGTAATTAACAAGCGTCTCAAAGCATAATTAGTAATGAGCAGAGAGAGTGAGGTAATAAGACTCAAGGACCAGCTCCTTCCACGTGGGACAGCTGTTTGGCACTCTACACTGCTGCTGCGTTTAGGAGAGCCTTCGTTTCCAGTGGCTGGGTTAGGAGGCCCAAGCACCGCAGCGCTAGCCTCGCGCCCCTGAATTACTCTGCAGCTCCTCGGCCTGCAGGGGAGCCAGGAGGGTGCTCCCGAACCATGGGGGTCAAAGGTCGCAGGTCCCTGCGCTCAAGAGCAGCAGAGAAATCTGTGGGGCGCCAAAACCCACCCTACTCACCCCAGTCAGGGGACTCTCTGCCCCGCAGTCCGGGTCTCGCACTGGGCACGCCACGCAGTGGACATCCTAGGACTCTGGCTGCAGGGCCGCCAACGTCCCCCTGGGGCCCCTGCGCCGCGAGTGGCGGGGTGCAGGCAGCCAGACCCGCTCTCCCTTAACGCCTTTTGGCGTGGTCCTACCTTCCTCCGCCAACACTTCGAGGAGATCCGGGTCGCCCATCGTCGCCAGCTCTTTAATGGCAGTGCTGCTTGAGAGACAGCAGGGGAGGAGCTGCTGAGACGCGCGTGGAGATGTGGGGCAGATACTGAATCTGACCGTGGGCCGCCAGAGTTGAGGCTGCTGGACTTCTAAGTGGCTGGTCTTCCTTCTGCAGGCCTCCTCCTCCTCCTCGGTCTCCACTGTCCCTAGGCGCCTCAGACAGCGGGGCTTCTTCTCCAGTGGGTACTTCCCCACGACCCGGTCCTCCCCGACCTGCTCCGAGAGCTTGGCCCTGCGCTTCACCACCCTCTCCCAGTAGCGCTCCTGGGCGCCCTCCCAGTACTTCTCCAGGTACCGGTCCCTGTGCCTGCCCGGCAGCCAGTCTCGCAGCCGCCGCTCCCCCCGGCGCTCGCCAGGGTCCTTTCCACTGCTGCCCTCCCGCAGCTTTTCTTTCCCCTTCGCTCCCTCCCGGTTTCCCCGCCTCTTTCCCCGCCTCCAGATCGCAGGAGCAGCCGGCGCCCCACCCTCGGAGGCCGCCATCTCCCCGCCCCCCGGCCCGGCCGGCTCGACGCCGGCCTCCTCCTCTCGGCTCCAGCCTTCGGCCGCCTCCCCACCCTCCTCCCGGCCCGCCGCCTCTCGCACCTCCTCGGGACAGGCTGCCTCCTGTCCCTGCTCTGGACCCGCGGCCTCCTGTCTCTCCTCGGGACCCGCCGACCCCGGGCCCTGTTGGCCGGCCTGCTCCATTCTCAACAGGCTTCGCACGGCCCTTTCCACCAGATCCACCCACGACCAGAAATCCTGGTTCCCCAGGGCTGCCGCTTCCCTCCAGTCGGAATCCTCCACGATCCCCACAGGCGGTCCTGATGCTCCCTCCGCCAGTTAGCCAGGTCCTCATAGATCCGCTTGACCCTAAGCCCACCCTGCGCGCCACTGGGAGAGACCCCCCCTCCCAGTTTGGGAGAGTTTTTTTTTTTTGTCGCGTGGGGGAAAAAAATCCCTCTCCCTTAAAGGAACCCCTCCCTATGTAAGGCCGGCGCATAGCTGGAGTCTCAAGGTTCCAGCAGCCCCTTCCCCATAGCGTCTGGAGCGGGGGTATTGACTTTTCTCCTGGCCCTGCCTGCTTCCTGGGCGTCCAGCAGGATCTCTGTCTTCTACGGGTGGGGGAAGGTCATCCGTTGTGGACTGTGTTCCAAAGTCAACCTCTGCCCCTTAAGAGTTGGATAGTGTGGGGCAAGTTTCTCCAAGTTTCAGTTTCCACATCTTTAAAGGAGAATGATAATAGTACCCACCTCCTAGGGTGTTGTGAGAAGTATGATGCAAAGTCCTTGCACAGAGTGTGTTAACATTTAGCTGCCGTTAAAGTTAACCCATATTATAGTCCATCTGGGTGACGCCTGTCAGCATCCCAGCTGAACGGTATTGCTTGAGCCCAGAAGTTCAAACTAGTCTAGACAACCCAGGAAGACCCCTGTCTCTCTCGAAAAAAAAAAAAAAAAAAAAATCAGAAAATTAGCCGGGCATGGTGGCAGGCATCTGTGGTCCCAGATCCTCAGGAGGCTGAAGTGGGAGGATTGCTTGAGCCCAGAAGGTTGAGGTTACAGTGAGCCAAAATCATGCCACTGCAGTCCAGACTGAGTGACCAAGAGCAAGACACTGTCTCAAAAAAAAAAAAAAAAAAAAAAGAAGGAGGAGTAAAAAATAGAAAGAAAAAAAAAAGAAAAAAAAGAAACCCAAGTTACATTAATCCCTACTCCATCTCAAAGGGTTGCTTTGTTTCCCCCCTCCACTTCCTGCCCACCCCAACCAGAACTTTAACCTCAAGCCAAATGGGTCGTCCCACTCTCACAGGCCCCCTGCATTGTTTCTATGTTTTTGAGACCCGATCAACTGCCAAATACACAATAATTGAGAAACTAGATTCACTGTTTAATGGGGGAAAAATAAGACTGATGATGAACTAAAGGTGAGGTCAAAGTCTCAGCTGAGAGTCTTGAGCTCTGCGGAGGGAGTGGCTGTATTAGTTTGTTCTCAAGCTGCTAATGAAGACATACCTGAGACTGGGTAATTTATAAAAGGAAGAGTTTTAATGGACTCACAGTTCCACATGGCTGGGGAAACCTCACAATCATGGCAGAAGGCAAGGGAAAAAGCACATCTTACATGGGTGGCAGACAAGAGCTTGTGCAGGGGAACTGCCATTTATAAAACCATAGGAACTCGTGAGACTTATTCACTACCACCTGAATAGTATGGGGGAAACCATCCCCATTATTATCTACACCTGACCCTGCCCTTGACACATGGTGATTATTACAATTCAGGGTAAGATTTGAGTAGGGGACACAGCCAAACCATATCAGTGACTCTGAGTTTAGGACAAAGATGGGGTGATTTGAAAGTTAGGATGAGAGGACAAAAGAAGTCTTGACCTTTCTTCATTTTTCTGCTACTGCATTTCCCTCTCTCCCACCATTCTATTGATATTTCAGACTTGAGAATCACCTTTTGCAGATGAGGAAGCAGGCCTAGAGAGAAGTGTTTTGGTAAAGGTTATAGTTAACCAAAGAACTGGAAATCAGTTTTACTCCTGTCTATAATTTCCTGCTTATATGTCTAGGAATACGTGAGCTCTGGTCATGTGATTTGAGACAATGTGTAGGCAATTTCTTATTTGATGTAATTTGGAATTGTGTTTGAAAGGTGAATATACATAAGCATAGACTTACACATGAAATCATAAATAAATGACTAATTGTGATAGAAGTGTTTGGTTATCATCTCTCGATTATTAATTCTTGTTTGGAGTTCTAAGAAAATTTCTACAATATGAATGTTTTCTAATATTTTTTCTGTATATCAGGTTTTCTTCTAGGTGCTGTGGACATTGTGAGTTAAGAGCTGGGTAGAATCTTGCTTTATATAAAGTTAAAATAAAGAAAACAAAATTATTTTTCCATTATTTTACATAATTCTGTTTCATGTTTTTTTATTTAAGCTCTGTATTTGAAATGATGTATATGAGAAGACATTATATGTTGATGATTTTGCACCAAATTAAATGGAATATTTTGATGCTGAATTTGCTTAGATTTTTATCAACATCCTTTAAACTTTGTTAATAAAAGTTGAAAAACAGCTGTGTTCTTTTAATAACAGTCTGGGTTGTGTCCACAACTCTTTAGGTTTTGAAAAATATTATCTGTATTCATATCATTGACATATTTTATATTGCTTATTCATTTATAATTTTAGGATATGTTCATCTTCTCCATCACTATACTATACCTCATTAGACATAGTTGTTAACTATACATTTCCAGAATTACATTCTGAATAATTTATACATGTTCCTTTAATGTAATTGAACATGTAGTTGGGTATTGAATCCGGCCCAAAGGTTGTCTTTTTTTAACCCTCCAAATGATTTCAGCCTTTGTTTAAATTATTATAAGCATCTGGTAACACTTTTTCTTATTTGTCTTTTATATTTTAGTAGTATCACAAAGTTTTTAAATTATTACATAAACAAAGCTATAAATATATAAATGGTGGTATCTTGGAAATTAAACTATCAACTGGCACCTTACAGTACTTGTATACCTGCTGATAGTAAAAGTGAGAATTCCCTGCAGGAAAGGCATCTTAGAGATGTAAGTATATAGTGTGTGAAAAAAGCCTGAGCTGTATGAAAGTTAAATGTTTACTCTTGAGCAACTTCTGCACGTGAAGTTTTTATTATTTTAGTAACCTGATTGAATCACTGAACTTAACCCAGATTAAAGAGCATAAGTTTACAAGCTAGACTCTGAAGACTAGAAAAGACCTTAGGAAGCCACCTAATGAATATATTTTCCTTCTGGTATTTAAAGCCAGGATATGGCACCTCCAGTCTGTGATCTTCACTGGTTTGCTTTCTTTTGACTTCTTCAGATATCAAAGCTTTGACTCCTTGTTTCCTCCTTTTGGACTTCTTATCATACAGTGGTTTTCTTAACACCTAAAAATTTCACTTATTCCATGTATTTTGAACATCTCTGCAGTTCACATAAAATAGCATACTCTAATACATGGAGCATTGTACAGGAGTGAAAAGACACCTATTAAATCCCTGTCGTCATCCCTTAAAAAGATAGGCAGCACAATTATCATGGACAGATGACTTGAATTCTTTGATCCCCAGCTCCCTTCTCTGGATATGAAGCTTCTTAACTTGTTCCAGCCATCTCCCAGCTTGTTGTAAAAGTCAAAAAAAATCCTATGCATGAAAGGATTTTGGAAACAATTAAAATGTACCAAACATGAAAAACTTTTATTGACTGGGAGAGGTAAAGTTAAAGTAATAGATTTACTAGAAGGTAGGAATACTATTTAAGGGTGATGTTCCCCCCAACCCCCCAGCAAAATGCTGTTTCCACAATTTCTTCAGAAGTTGCAGTTACTTTCTGACTCCACACATTCACTACCCATTCCCTGGTTTCAGAGGAGAGTCCAAATCTCTTTATTTGCCTGATTGATCACTTTGAATCCTGACTTTTTTAGGCCCCGAACCTTATAAGCCCCAGTCTTCTCAACTAGCTCGTTCATCTCTACCTACCATCTTTCACTCTTCTCAGAAAAAGCCCACTTTACGGGCTGATACCTGTAACCCTAGTGGTCATCAGAAAATGGGATTTAATACTTAGCACTCACCTTCATGCTTGGTATTTTCCTATCTCAGTGTCCGGAATGGCATCCCCCTCTGTCTCATAACCAGAAAAATGCAATTTGTCCTCAGACTAAGAGATCATGAAGAACTGTTTCAGCAATAGATATGGAGTAAAGAAGCATTATTCTCTTCTATGCCTGCATGAACAGTAACTGAGGTTAAAAATAACCTGTTTTCAAACTTTTGATGCTATTGCAAACTATTTTGTAGACTTAGGGAAAAATCAAAACACATTGCTTGTCTATAGGATTGCAAAAACTCTATTTACATGATGTGGGCTAAGTAAGTCTTCATGATTATTTCCCACCTGTCTCTCCCTCTCCCACTACACTGCAGCCATGGTGTCTTACTGCTGTTCTTCAAGCATAACAAGCACCTTCTCATCTCGCTGTTTCGCTGGCTCCTCCTAAGGATCTTCTCACAGATGTGTGATAGTTAACTCTCTTAGGTTATTCAGTTTTCCATCCAAATGTCACTTCCTTGGGAAGAACTTTGCTGACGACGCTAAGGCAATTACCTAATATTACTGTCGGCTTACTCTGTGTTGTTTATCTTCACAGCAGTAATCACTTTCGGGATTTTTATATGTATTTGTTTATGCATATTTGTTAGCACATAAACTCCATGAAGGGTGACGTTTCGTCAGTTCTGTTTATTGTTGTATCTGTGGTACCTAGGTTGGTGCCTGACACAGAAAGATTCTATATAAATATATGTTAAATGAAAGATTTGACCAAGGTGTATTATCAAATTTCCTGTTGTCTGAGACTGGCTAGTAGCTGACTTCTCTGTTGCCCCTTGCTTTCAAGCAGCTGATAGAGTAATTTTATTATACACATTGGATGGCTAAGTGCCATTCTGAGAACTAATTTTCTAGTTCTAAAGAAACTATAAAATTGATCTG